AAAGAGCTTAGCCTTGCATATCTATTGAAGAACTACTCCTAAAGATAAAAGAAAGCATTATTTCTAGTATGTAGAGAGGAGAGTTTGTGTTTCTTCACTTCTAATTGCTACCACCTATCTTTGATTCTATTGCACTCCCTCCTCTCCTTTCTTGGCTCTCTTGGTGTCTATATATAGGCTTCAATGGCAGCTCCTCTTGCTTCTTTATCAATAATGGTGGCTGCCAAACATGCCAAACTTTGACATTAGTAGTCACCACAAACAACCCACCATTGTAGCCTCCTTCTTTGATAATGGCACATTCCAACTTGCAGCTGGTTTGTGGTTGGTGATTTGAGGTTGGTGGATTCAGGTTGGTGGCTACTTTTCTTGACCTTCTAGATTGATTTACTAGAGAGGCTAAATTGCTAAAATTATAACTTGGATGATAGTTTAGAAGCTTCGAAATAAAAATTTGGACTCATTTCTTCATGAAACCTGATTGCTGACAGAATTCAGTTGTCATCTTTGAAAAATCATATCACCCTCATCTGACATCATTTTTGGCTGAAAATTGGAGCGTTTCTAGACCTTTGAGTCAGAAATTGAGTTTGCATCAATTGGACTTCTATAGCTCCAGATATGGAATTTTGAATGGACAAAGGTCAACAGTGGCAGAATACGAGATTTGACTTTGAAGGATGTGATTTCCATGATCTTCCTCTTTGTATTTTTCTTGCATTACATTTCCAGAAAGGTATGGATGTTAGCTTTTTAGAGCCACTGGAATCACTTCATTTTGATCTCTATAACTCACGCTCTGCACAAAACATCGACTGAACGTCAAATCTGTCAATTATCTCCAATTTACTCCTTTTTGCATTTTTCATCCAAAAGTGCCTTCAAAACATAAAACAAAAAATATCAAGGCATTTTACATATAAAACATGGACAAAACATTAGGTAAATGTGGGTGAAACTATCGAATAATATGGTTACATCAAGTCTCCCTAACGCCCCCGTTACCTTTCACAGTCTAATGAACAAAGTGTTTAGAGCTCATTTAAAGAGGTTTGTTCTAGTATTTTTTGATGACATTTTACTATACAACAAGTCCTCCATGAAAAACCTGAAGCATTCACAGGTTGTTTCTGTAGTGCTTAAAACACACAAACTGGTAGCAAAGGAAAGTAAATGTGTCTTCGGTGATGACAAGGTTGAGTGCCTAGGCCCTATCATCTCTAAGGCATGGTGGCTACCGATCTAGTAAAGCTACAAGCTATTAAGAATTGGCCATTGCCCTAGAACATCAAGCAATTACGGGGGTTCCTAGGGCTCACGAGGTATTATAGAAAGTTTGTAAAAGGATATGGCATTATTTGTTGCCCCCTAACCAAACTTCTTAAAAAGGATGTTGTGGGTTAGAACCAAGAGGCAACTCTAGCTTTCGAAAATTTTAAGAAAACAATGGTTAATTCTGTAGCCTTGTCCCTACCTAACTTAAGTAAACCTTTTATCATTGAGATAAATGCATCAGGATCAAGCATTGGGGTAATTTTAATATAGGAGGGGCATTTTATAGCATACATCAGTAAGGCTTTAGGGCCAAGGCAATAGGTGTTATTCACCTATGAGAAGGAAATGTTGGCAATCCTACAAGCAACCAAGTGGAAGCAGTATCTATAGGGTAAGACTTTCAAGATCAGAACTGACCGTGTGAGTCTTAAGTACTTATTAGACCAAAAATTTCTTCTCCCTCTCAACATTTATGGCAGACTAAACTGCTGGGCTTCGATTATCAAATTGAATTTCATAAGTGAAGAGAAAATATAGTAGTTGATGCTTTTTCTAGAGTCATCAACAGTGAGCTTAAATGCTTTAGCATTGTCCATGGTATCGATTCCTTTAGTATTGGGTATCAAAAGTTCTTGGGAGGAGGATAGCAAGATTCAATCCATCATTCAAGACTTAACAAAAGACCCAACTGCATACCCTCACTACAAATGGAGGGACAATTGCTTATTCGGGAAAGGGAAATTATGGTGATAAACAATATAGCGCTCCAGCATCAGCTCATAAAGATTTACTATGATACAACCTTAGGGGGACACTCTAGGTCTACAGTCACGATAATCAAGGTTTGCCAGCATATTTTATTAGAGAAAACAGCACAAACAAATCTGACAATATATGAGAGAGTGCCTAACCTTTCAAAGTTACAAAACAGAAAATGTAGCTAATCTAGGGTTGTTGCAGCCTCTGCTGATCCCAACAACACCATTCATAAACATTAGCATGGATTTCAGAACTAGCTTACCAAAATTAGAGGGCAAGGAAGTGATATTCATAGTGGTGGATAGCTTCAGCAAGTATATGCACTTTATGGCACTTTCACGCTCTTATATGGCTAACACAATCGCCAAGACCCTCATGGAATCAATCTACAAACTGCACGGATTGCCCGCTACTATAGTGAGTGATCGAGACTCCATTTTTCTTAGTTAGTTTTAGAATGAATTATTCAGTCTGCAAGGGGTTAACCTTCATTACTCCATTGCATATCACCCTCAATCGGATGGAAAAACCAAGGTCGTCAATAAGTGCATAGAAGGCTATCTCGGGTGTATGACAGGGGACGCTCCTTCATAATACCGACTTTGAATGAATGATGTTACAACACAAACTTCCACACCCCTACCAAGTTCACCCCTTATGAAATACTATACGTGTTTTTACCTCCAATACACATTTTCTATTTCCTTAAAGATTTATCTGTAGAGGCAGTTGATTATTACCTCAAAACAAGGAAGCAAATGCTACAGACAGTACAACAAATTCTAGTCAAATCCTAGAATAGAATGAGACAATTGGCTAACAAAAAGAGAAACGGTAGAGTCCTACAAGTGGGTGATTCAAGAAGTAGCCTCCAAGCTAAATCTTTTATCCTCATCAAACATCCATCTACTTTTTCATGTCTTTTTATTAAAAAAAACATGGGAAATAAGGTGGTGCATAAAAGCTTACTGGACAGGTTTAGAGAGCCCCTATTACAGCTGCAATCATGAATCGAAGGATGATATAGAGAGATCATCAAGCTGCAACACAACTCTTAATCTATTTACAAGGGTTGTCCTTGACAGAGACTATATTAGAGTTCATGGATGAAATAAAATTCAGGTACCCAACCTTCAACCTTGAGGAGAAGGTGGTTATCAAGGGAGGAGAATTGTTGCAGGTGAGCTCTACGTGAGGAGTTTAACAGGGAAAATCAATTTAAAAAAGAAGTTATCATTGCAAATGGTACGCATTGGATGACTATACTTTAAGCGCATCATCTTAATAATTGTAATCTAGAAAGCACGAGAACCTACTCTCCCTCCTCCTCCTCATGCCTGTATACAAAAAGGCGTTGTACAAAATAAGAATATACGAAAAAGAAGAGAAATATTATTTGATCCCCACCCCTTGTAGTCCTAAACTCTCTCCTCAACATTTTGTTCACTGTTCCTCGCGTCTGTTAATCTTTTTCTCAATTCATTTGTCCAACCATGTGCCCCCAAGCCTGAACCACACAAATTCACCCCACAACTCGGGGAAAGAGGAGGCGCCAAGATAAACTGTCCAAGTCCAGAGTACCTGTACAGTGTATTGCCTTCACGATTTAGCTTAAGGTGCCTTTGGTATCGCCTTTAAAAAGGAGCCTTCTCTTACGTAATTAATCCAGGCGATTGTACCGGAGATGAGCTGATGGCGAGACATCAGATCCACGCTTATCACTTCACAACATTTGAGATTTTAAAGTCACTCGAATAGATTTTAAGAGATTTTCAAAAGCTCAGGTCCAAGATTCGAGTACTGTGGCGTATGAATATGCTATTGTTCCATCTTGTCTAATTTTCACTGCAGCGATGCTGACAGGGAATATGGTGCCGTGTTTTCCAAATTAAAATTATAGGATTGGATGATAGTGGTGAACAATCACTCAAGATTCACACATCTTGGAAGAATGACTCCCGCAACTGTTTATTTCCAAACCATCAGGAATTTAATCATTTTTTATTACGGAAGTTTGTTCTTGTCTTTTGTTTTAAAACACGTAACAAATTAATAACCAACTGTCAAAACCATATAAAATAATTTTGGAATCATCGTGCTAGTAATTGTTGGTAAAAAACAAATATCGTATTTCTGTTTTCAAAAATCTTAAAATAGAAATGAGAAGAAAACGTAAAATGATACCACAACGCGAAGATAACCAGTGTTTTATTTATAAAAAAACAAGAGAAACATAATAGCCAATCTAATATTCTAAGATAAAGTTAATTTTAATTTAAAAATCTAATTTTATTTTTAGTTTTTTTTTTATTATATCCCTTTCTAGCATAATTCTTGGTGGTGGTTTTAATTCCTCGTATTATTAAAAAAATAGATCAAAGTTTAAAAAGATTTGTGACATCAATTTAATCTTGTAGTTTTTAACTTATTTTTTTACTACTTAAAAGGCACAAAATAATTAATTCATAAATACGTTATTTAAGTAAAAAAACACAAACTTGAATTTTTACCTAGTTTCCAACAACTATAATTGTTGAAAATTGAACAACAAAAAAATATGTTATTTGTCACAACAAACCATTCATTACTTGCTTTATTTATTTTTTAAAAAAAGAGTAAGGCCAAGACTCAACAGCATCCGGTGTTTTTTGAAGAGGCCAGGCCACGCACCTTTTTTTTTTTTTTTAATTGTATTTTCTTTGTTGTTTTTTCATTGAAAACAAATACTAATCAGCTTGCTTTTTAATTTTAACTTGGTTTTTAAAATGATTTAATTGAATTTTAACAATTTATTTTTAAATTATTATGTATTTAAAATAACAATAATAAATTGCCAATAAAAGTTCAATTAAAATCATTTTTGTAATTATATTTTTTATAATAGTTTTAAAAATATCACGAGTTTGTTTTTTGATAAAAGGTTTATGATAATTGATACAGTTAGGATAATTTTTTTCAGAAATAAATTTATAGAAAAACAAAAAAAAAAAAACGAAAGAAATCCAGCATTTTCCCCTGGTGGAATTGCAGAAGGGGACGAAGCATCGTCAGGCTCAGGAATAGAGAGAGAAAAGAGAGGATCGACATTGGCACAAGCAACAAAAGGAGCACGTGGCAAACATACAGAATCTTGATCCTCAACAACACACAACGCTGCAATTTTATCTATGCACACCAGAAAACAGAGAGAGGGAGAGGGAGAGGGAGAGAGGCTGTCGGAAAAGGAATCCACGCACCAAGTAAGAATTAAATTTCCTTCTGTAGAAGAAAAATGGACAATACAAATGCGGTGAAGGGAATAATAAAAGAGTAGGTTCCTAGTTGGGGTAGTTGCAAGAGCACATTGGAAGGGAGGGATTCTTCTGGTATCGGATTCTTGTTTGTTTAATCCAACTCATGCCTACTTAATTCCCCCAAGAATGCGAATTCCAAAGAAGCCAGTTTCCTTTTGCCTTTCTCTTTTCTCTCCTGAATTTCCCCGTCCTTTCGATTCTCGAATTAGCTTCTTTTCGGGATTTCATTATAAAACTCCTAATTTCTCCTTCGCTAAACCAAAGCAAATTCACTCCGCAGGTTAGTTCTCTCTCTCACTCTCTCTCTCTACTGATTTCGTTTCTCATTTTATTAAATCGTTTTGAAAATCTGCATCATTCCTCGTTTTATTGTTGAAGAAATATGAGGAGTTTTTTTAGTATACAATTTGGCGGAATCATAGGTGGAATTAGAGTAGGTTTTGATGGAGGAATTGGATTTTTAGGTGTTCCTTTGGAGCGAATGTTCGAAGATACTTAGACTGGGAACATGCACTTTCACTCTGTGCTTTTTGATTCAAATTTGCAGGTAAGATGTCAGCAATTGAGTTTTTTTTTTTTTTTTTTAAAGAACACTCTTAGGTAGTTCTTGGTTTTACTCTTCTTCTTCTTCTTCTTTTTTTTACCAAGAAAACAGTGTTTTTATTTTTGCAGAGGACTTCGTGGCTGTTGTGTGCTGTTTGCTAGTCATTTCAGCTATAGTGTTGGATTATGTAGATTGGTCAACTTGATCATAAGAGCACTTAACCCTGTTTTTATTCTTTTTCTTTTTCTTTTCCTTTTACTTTAATCATGCGTGTTTTGTATCCATCTAATATGGGTTAATGCGAGTCGTGTATGTACCATAAAACCTTGTTTTCTTGAATTTGTTGAGTAATGGATTTTTTCGTGTTGTGCATGGTGTAATTTGAATGTCATTATTTATCGATGTTAAAAGTTAATTCTTTTGAATATCTCAGGAGTCAATCAGTTGCATATGAGCTATAAGATGGACAAGGGTCAGAAGGCTGTTTTAGGTGACCAGAGATTGAGCTCTGAGCTTATGGAGAGTAGGGATGGAGTTCAAGAACCATGCATATGGTCTTCTCCTGAAGGGGGGAAAGATGAAGCTGAACTTGGAAAACGGATCTTCTGCAATAGGTCATTGAACATGAGAAATATTATAGCTGTCGGCTTTGATATGGATTACACGTTGGCACAGTATAAGCCTGAAACCTTTGAGAAACTTGCGTATGAAGGCACGATTGAAAAGTTGGTGTCTAATCTTGGCTATCCTGAAGAGGTTTGTCTTTCTTAAAACCTGTGCTGCTTTGCTCCATTGAATTTTACAATATGTTGGCTAAGAATGGTGTTTCTATGCAGTTGTTGGGCTGGACATTTAATTGGAAGTACATGGTCAGAGGATTGGTTGTAGATAAAAAGAGAGGCAATATCTTGAAGGTTACTCATCAATAATTTCTCATTAGCTGTTCTTTACTTAAAGAACATTTGTGTGGGAAAATATTTGAACTACTGATTTGCATTATACAGATGGATCGTCATAAATATGTGAAAGTGGCATACCATGGATTTAGAGAGTTGACCAAGGAAGAGAAAGTTGGCACCTATGGGAATACTCTGATACGAGATGCTTTTGACGAGCCAGATTATGCGCTTATTGATACTCTTTTCTCATTAGCTGAAGCCTATTTGTTTTCCCAGCTTGTTGACTTTATGGACAAAAACCCAGGAAGAGTTCCAGCAAGAGTAGAGTAAGAAAGCAGCATTTATTTTTAGTCTTATGTGGTACCAGGTCTTTTATTTATTTATTTATTTATGTGGATTCTCTATAATAGTAAATTCCAACTAAACCAAATCCCTTTTCTATTCCCCTTCATATGCTGATTCAATTTTGCCAACTTAGTTGTTTCTATAACTTTGTTTAAGATTAAAAAAGCTTTCAGGGCCTAAAATATACCAACTTCAGGCAGAACATGTTTCTCTGCTGTGAATTTCACTGGTTTGGCAATAAAAGTGTGCACTTAGAATGGTAAAAACAAGCATGTCTAAATATGTGGTTTAAATACCAGCAGAAACTTCATAGTACGGCTACATAAGACAGATGGGTTTTTTAACAATGAATTATTCATTTCCTTGCAAAGGGTTTCCATATTTAAGGTTATCCAACTTTTAGGAGTCAAGTAATTATTGGGGTTCGTATTAAAGATGAAATGTTATGGTATTGCTATTGAATAACATCCACAAGAATCACCTAGAGTTGTTTGTAGATAATAAATAACCAATTGATGTGGTGGAGGGTAGACCTGTTCTTCAATGAAGTGTAGATCTTGAAAGCTGATTGTTTCACAACCAACTCTTTCAGCTACGCTCGCATGTACAAAGATGTTCGATCTGCTGTTGATATGTGCCATCGGGATGGAACTTTAAAGCAAATGGTAGCAAAAGATCCTATAAAGTAAGTTAAAAAATTGGCATTAATTCCTCAAGCGGTTGTCAATCATTGGTGATATTTCTGCTTCTCTATTTCTGCTGCTTTTCTATTTAAGAAGGTTAAGAAGAGACCTCAATTGCAGTTTATTTTGCAGTTTGTTTGGCTGAATAGACAAATGATCTAATGGATGCTGGTTTAGACAGAATAGACAAATGATGTATATAATTTTTGGGTTATTTGGAAAAGGTTCTTTTAATTTGTTCTTCTTTATTTTTGGTTATGGGTGCTTTTGTCTTTATGTCTCTGGGCTTCATCTACTAGGTACATCAACGAGGATAAGTCTATAGTTCCACTTCTCAAAATGCTCAGGGATTCTCGACGGGCAACGTTCTTGGTAACAAATAGGTATTAAATCTTCCCCTCCCCATTTCTGTTCTTTTCTCCATTGGAATGCTATGGATAATGAATATCTTTTCATATTCAGAACAAATGTTACGTAACATCCTGGCAGATTTCTTTCTCGTTTCTTGCATGTGACTTTTCTGGATGTTACAACTTACTTGAGATGGGACTATAAGTAATCATTGCTTTTATCTTTGCAGTTTATGGGACTATACAAATATTGTGATGAATTTTCTCTGCGAGTCTCGTACCCTTGATGCTTGCAACTTTGATTGGCTTCAGTACTTTGATGTTGTCATCACTGGCAGGTAATGTTTTTTCCCTTAAAACAGCATATTTAATAGCTAAAATATTGATTGTTGATTCCTTTTTTTTTTATTAATAATTAGCATTTGGCATATAATTTGCACCAAAATTGCAAAAATATTATTTTAACTAATGGCTAGCTTCCATCAGCATGTTATAAAACCATGGATTGCATTCTTAAAAATGCTTTTAATAGTCCTGTTCTGGTAATAATATAGAATTATATCCACACTTTGAAGTATTAATTTTCACTCTTGTTTGAAAAATTCTGTTCTGCCAGTAGCTCCAATATTTTGTGTTTTCAGGGTAATTTATGACAGTTGTTGACTTTGAATATATATGCAGTGGAAAACCGGGATTTTTCCACGAAGAAAGTAATGCTAATCTTTTTGAGGTTGAACCTGAATCTGGCAAGCTTATCAATACTGATAATGGAACTCCTATGGCTCAGGTTAGTGTAGCAGTAGTTCTATTGTCCCTTAAACCTGTTTGGCATTCTTACACTTCTCCTTATTATGTCTGTCGGTGTGCTTTTTATTCTTTTTCAAAAAGGTTGGAAATTCTTCACCTAGCATAACACTGAAGAAGCAAAATGAGCGTTGCAGGGTTTTCCAGGTATGTTAAGAAAGTTAGTTAATTAAATCCATCTAAGCAATTGTGCATAGAAGGCAACATCAATGACTTAGATCACATCAACTGAATTTTTAGATGGAAATGACAAATATGAGCCATCTAATGATGTCCTTCAATCTGACATTTCAGGGAGGGACCGTTCGTCATCTGCATAAATTACTCTCAATTGAGTCAAGTTCACACGTAATTCTTTTTCCTGTTTATCATTCTTAATTCCTTGAACAATTTATATTTCCTTCTAGTATTCCATTTTTGTTAAGTGGGCGTGCAAGGCATGGAAGGAAAGTAATGCTCATAAACATGAAAGAAAAAACCTTTCTTGTGGTTATATACTGTACTTCTGGGCATATTGCATGACTGCTCTTTTGTACTGTTATTTTGCGGAATTATATCCATGGCAAGAAAGAATGTGGGTTTGTCATTTTTCTTTTTCTTTTTTTGTATTAATATTGAGTAACTTTATGATTGATTGTTGAAATCTTTTGCACTGTTATTTTGTGGAATTAATCTTTTTTTGGTTTGTCATTTTGCTTACATCAGATGCTGAGCTGCTTGCTCTTGATATGCTTTTTTCTGGATTCATGCATGTGAATTTTAGATCTAACAACTGTTTAATCCCATAGGTTCTGTATGTTGGGGATCATATCTATGGAGATATTTTACGCAGCAAAAAAGTTCTCGGTATTGCACTCTTTCTTGTCTTCTGATTCCTATTTTCTGTAGCCTTTGAAGCTAATATTGATTGGTTACGAATTATCATTTTATGTAAGACACTTACGTAATCAACAAATGGGGTGTGTGCAAAACTATTTTAGGGTCTGCATGGGGAATGAAAAAAAATAGAAGTTGACACGTGCTATCTCTAATTCCTCAATTGAACATATAGAATTCCCCCTTGCACATCAAGCCCATCAATCACAGTTTTGCAATTAAAATATTATATTTAGCCATAGCTATGGGTTGTGGTGTGTGTCTTGTGTTGGTTTTTGTGGTTTACCTGCCCTTTATGCCTCTATGAGCAGGTTGGAGAACAATGCTCGTTGTTCCAGAGCTTGAGGCAGAGGTAAAACTGCTTTGGGAACTCAGGGACTCACGCAAGGTAATTTTTGAAATTTCTTAAGCTCTGATGACAGATTTTTTATGCCTTGTCCTTGTAGAAAAGGCTAACAGTGGAAGTTCAAGATTCTGAATCTTGCAAAGGCATATTCGTTAATAAACACCAATTACTACGAGTTGTTTGGTTAATTGTACAGTCAGAGAAATCTACCTTCTTAATATTAATATCCATTACCAAAATTGCACAAACCGAATCATTGCATTTGCATGGAATGCATTGAGGAACTGTAAAATTGGTGCATCTCTTGTGCTGGAAGTCGGAGAGCAATATTTATGTCTTCTTCCTTAGACACCTGTATTTCAGGACTCACTGTTGCTATGTTGGACTTTTTTACTACTAGTTATCCAGGTGGTCATGAGATGCATAAGTTTGTCCATTTTGTGGTCCAATGTTTGAAATATAATGATAATTAAGCTATTCGAGGATGTATTATGTTGTTTAACCTGATCAAGTCAGTTGCTCTTCTTTTGCCTTGCATAAACTTTTTGCAGGCACTTCAGTTGATGAGAAGTGACCGTGATCACATTGAAGATCAAATACATCGTCTAAGGTGGTCCCTTGAGTAAGTACATATCTGGAGTCTTATTTTCTGATCATACTATGATATAAAATCATGTCTTAACACCCCCAAAACCATCTTTATCTAAAGTCTGAAAGGTAAGGGGAAATTTTATGTAGAGTTATATAATCTGTTTCTCCCAACCAATTGATCCATGGTTACTTTAGCTGCCAAAATCTAGACTATAGTGGTGCTTTTTATTGCAATGTGGTAGATGCGGAATAAAAAGAAACCTGCAGTTTGGATTTTGAACATTGTGTTGTGCACTAACAAACTTGCTTCTAGTAATTGCAAAAAAGATGGAATACTGCTGACATGAGTAAAACAAAACTTGTGAAAGAAATGATTGATCCGGTATGATATTAGTTCTTTTTCTTGAAAAAGTGAAACTGGAATTTCTTGCACAGCTTTGAAGATCTTAAAGCCGATCAGAAGCAGGAGAAGTCTGCTTTGGTAGAGGATTTGGAGGTTAGGTTGCTTGTTTGTGATGCTAGTGTTGCTATTGGAATATTTACAGATAGATTATTAAAGTCACTGATTAGTTATTCAATGGTTTCTTTGAACAGCTCCAGAGGGATCAAGTAAGAATCAAACATCAACAGGCTCAACGAGAATGTCACCAAAAAGTAAAGCTGCTCTTTTGTCCCTTGCGACTCCCAACTCTCTGCAACAAGTCTCATAATAAGGTTTTGATTTTTGACTTCACTGATTAATTTACAGTTTCACAAGGTCTGGGGACAACTCATGAAGACAGGCTACCAAAACTCGCGCTTTGCACATCAGGTGAGATCCTAGTCCTTCCATCATAGAACCTAGAGCTGCTTTGTGCGTGCTTTCTTTTCAAAAATGCTGGGCCGAAATTATCCTGCATTTTTTTTTATATCATGAAGCCTCAGTGTTCATTTCGGTTTGTTCTTAAATGTCTTCTGCACAAACAGGTTGAGAGATTTGCCTGTCTTTATACCAGTCAAGTATCCAACTTAAGCCTTTACTCCCCAAACAAATACTATAGACCCGGTGAAGATTTCATGCCCCACGAATTCAATATTCTTCCAATGTGAACCCTGTTTGCTTGCTGACTACAGGTGGCATGATTTAATTTTTTTTTGCCATGGAAAAGGATAATGATAATCCTTTAACCAAAATGTTTTTTTTTTCCCTTGAATGAAAATGTGACATGAATAACTCTGTTTTTATACAACAGATGCTTACAACTGTATTCAAAATATTGTCTATAGTAGCTAGATGCTTGCAACTGTATTCAAAATATTGTCTATAGTAGCTACGAGATTTGCGCGATTGAATCATGATTTCTTCCTTGTTCCAATTTAAAAAGTGTGGCTATCATCTGAGCGTCTATATTGATAGCAACAAGTATATCACACAGTTTTGACTTTTGAGTTGTTAACAAAGGTGAAAGGAGATTGACAAATTTTAGAGAGATACTGAGCAATAGAACCAAGGAAAATTTGATCATTGATCATCCAACTGCAAGCAATCCAATCCCAGTATCAATGTTCATTTTAGGTTTTGTAGTATATTTTGTAGCATATTTTATTTTATTTTATTTTGATAGAAAATTAGACGGCAACGTTCTTGATGCTTGGTTGAAGGCCCACGTTATATTATCTGGTTCATAGAGGAAAACTTTTAGGTAGCGTCATTATTGTTTCGGGGTAAAAGATAGGGATAGTTGAGACAAATGCCTGGATGGAATAGAAGACGGGGATGTGTTTAGTAGTGTTACGGAAGACATAATAAATAATTATGATATATATGTATTATAATGCTTGAAATAATATATAGGTATTATTATTTTTATTTTATTGCTAATCAATATTATTTTTTTGAACTAATCTAAACTCGTCGAAATTGTACTAAAAAAGATTTGCAATCGTTGTAAAAGAAATAACTCATTGCAAAGAAATAATCAAATTATGATTTACTCTATCATTAAATCATTTCTCTAAATATATTTAATAATAAAATAAATATTTAAATCAACTATTATAATCTAATTTTAAGTCCTCAAAATTCTTTTATGTAATTTTTTTCTAAAATATTTTTTAAAAAAAGAATTATAAATTCAAAACTCAAAAATATTTCAGGATACAAATATATAAATTTTTGAGCTATAACATGTTAAAATATTGAAAGGATAATCAGATTTGAAAGATACTCAGATTTGAATAACCGAAAAATGACTTATCTAAAGTAAAATTAAGTTTGAAAGTTAATTTAATTAAAATTAAAAGAATTAATTAAGTTCACTGAGTTTAATTAAACTTTTAATGGGTTTAATTGATTTAGTTAAAGATATAATTGAAGAAAACATAAGTTGGGAGGTGCAATTCAAGTTAATTTACAATAATTACAAGATTAAAGAGTCTACTTGATGCAATCATAAACTTAATTAAAAGAAGTTTTAAGTTTAAATTTCATTAAATATCAAATTGAAGAATTCTAAAATCAATGTTCCTTGTGAAAAGGCACGAAAAGTAGAGAATTTAATTGAAACATTTCAAGAGTGAAATTGAAAAAACTCTAAAAAATTGGGTTCAATTGAGAGCTTAATTGAAAATTTTAAAAGAATAAGGGCTAAATTAAAGAAGGTACTATAGATGAAAGGTCATTTATTTGAAAAAGAAAAATTATAGACGAGTTGTCTTATTTCAACCCATAAAAATCATTATTTTATCTGCAAAAGATTAAAAAAAAAATATACCACAATGACCTATCTCAATAATAACTATAAAAAACATGCTCGAGTTCTCTTCTAGACTCTCTCAAACCTTTTATCTTTGCATCAATTAAAATTATAGGTGCTAAGATCAACGCATATGATGTTCCTATATAATTCCAACCGCTCAGATCTTCTTCATTTTTCCTTGAGACTCAAGAAAAATTGGATTCGATTGAGGGTTTAATTGAAAAATTTAAAAGAATAGGGGCTAAATTAAAGAAGGTACTATAAACGAAAAGTCGTATATTTGGAAAAGAGAAACCATAGATGAGTTGCCTTATTTCAACCCAGTACCGATCCTTATACTCTCATAAAATACCTAATAGTGTTTTCCAAAATGCAGCAATGATTCCTATCAATTAGATCCAACCATATGAATCATTATTTTATCTTCAAAAGATAGAAAAAAAAACCACAATGACCTATCTCAATCATAACCATGACAATCATAACTATGGAGAACATGCTTGGGTTGTTCTCTTTTAAACTCTCTCATACCTTTATCTTTGCATCAATTAAAATTATAGTTGCCAAGATCAATGCACATGATGTTCTTATACAATTCCAACCGCTCAAATCTTCTTCATTTTCCCTCAAGATTCAAAAAAAAAAAATCATAACAAACTCATACCCTAATTACCAAAATTCCAAGATGGTGAACCACCTTGACAGATGTAGAACAGAACAAGCTTTTTTCATTGGTTGTAATTAATGGCCATACTTTTTTCTTGAACATTAAGAGTCAAGATTCCACTAGCTCTTAAACCCTACACTCCCTAGTTCTCTAATAAAAATACCACAAAATCATAACCAAAAAGTAGAGCTCATAACCCTAAATACTTCCTATTTCTTCTATAAAAATCCCACAAATCCATAATGTAAAAGTAGCTTAAAGGAAGGGAACATTGCTATAAACAAGACTAACTTAAAAATTTTACACTATCATGCAATCTCTTTCTTCCAACCCTTGACAATCATAATAACCCATCTCCACCATTATTTATAATCAAAACCAACCCTAAAACCACATCTAAATCATACTAGAAACAACCTTTATTTTGTTGCCAAGAACTTACAAAAACTCCAAAATAACGTTGCCTTCATCATCCAGCCATGATAGTCGAAAAAGAGCAACCCACCACAGCATATAATCAAGTCATCATCTCCTTTTAGTAATAGATTAGGCCATTCTTTATAGCCTTCAATTGTGATAACAACCATTCCAAACCCAATGTTGCTTCCTTTTATTTTCCAACCAAAAGGCTTGGAGCCTCTCATAAGGAAAGAAACAAGAAGGAGAATATGGGCCATTGTCTCTCTCAACTAAAATATAACAAAAAACTAAAAGCCATCTCTAGAATATATATAAGTAAATCAAGTTTAATGAGAAAAGAGCATAATCTTTCACTGATCTCAAGGACCATAATTCTCTTCATCATTATTGGTGGTGTTATATTTTTAAGCCCTTAAGACTTTCCTAGTTTGTTAAGCTTTAAGGTTTGTTGATAAGCCAAGAAGATCTCGTGTGCTTATCAAGAATCCTAGGTTTATAAAGAGGTAAAGTGACACGACCAAAAGATTGATGTCTGTTTGACCGCTTTTTATGATCGGTTTGTTTTAACTCGTAAGTGCACGAGTGTGCGATGTAGTAATTAACTCGGTAAGATCAAGGTCATATCCACAAAGAGCTAGATGTAGAAAATAAGCTAGGTAACAAAAAAAAACTCAAGAAAAATTAAATTAATAATAACTTGGTTGAAAATAATTGATGGATTTGTTTTGAAAGATGAAAACGTGTAAATAGATTTTAAATGATAAGAAAAAGTAAGTCTTGGTCCAAATCAATTTTAATGGTGATGTATTGGTGATTCCTTCAAGATATATAAGATAACTCAACCTAATATCAATGATGGTGATATTAGATCGAAAGATATTACAATGAAGTTTAAAAGGATGAAGATTGACTATTACTTAAGATTGAACAAGTACTTTCATATTAAGTAAGACATTGAATCAAGCAATCTCTATACCAAAACTAAAGTTTGTGCATAAAAATTCAAGATTATAACATTACCTAAATGATTTCTAAAATTTCTTTGCAATAATAAATCATTCATGAAGAAAATGAGAAGATAAACATTAAGATTCATTTATATTTAAAGAACTCACCTCAACCACCATCATCCTTGATTTGGATCCAATAAAGAGATTAGCCAACCATGATTATATATAAGAACACTTCAATAAACATGAAATAACTTGAATCAAACTGAAATGATAAGTTTTACAAGCTAAAGAACCGAAATTTATAAAGAAGAACACAACACAATTTCAGTAAAAATTTGGACACAAATCTGATACTAACTTTAGACAGCAATTTAGACCCTCTTAGAAGCCTTTTCTGGAAAAGTCTATTATAGACATATTTATAGGAAATTCAATCACCTTTCTAGATCATTAAAGAACAACTCATTTGGACACTTGAGTCAAAAGTTATGGGTAAAACACCGAAAGGTGTTTTGAAAAATCAAATCAAGCCAGCTTTGCAACCACTTTGGTGCATGTTTTTCTTCCTCATTTATGAGCTATCTCTTTCTTCTTTTTGACCTAAAATAATGTAACAATGTCCCCTCCAGCTTTCCATCCATGTGCTTGCCTTCTTGGATCAATGGATTACCCAAAATAAATCAATTGTTATTTGTTGTGTGGACATGTAAAATCATGGATTGTGCTTGGGCTGATTTGAAGGTTGATTTGGGGCTGAATTTAAGCATCAAATAAGGATACAAATGTACCTATTATGTGAGCTAAGATTGACATTGAAACCTTGAGTGTTTAATGGTTGAAGTTTGCACACAACATAAGGCAAGTTTGGGCTTGAAATAGATCATATGATATTCTTTTCTAGAATTGGAATAGAATTGATTTTTGGGGCAAATTTGGAGCACTTAATTGAATCAAGATTTGCTTCAATCCTCAACTAAATATCTCTTCAATTCTTTGTTCTGAATTCCAATATTGAATTTTCTAAATTAATTCATTTAAGCTCCAAAAACCTATCGAAACATAAGAAAAACTTCATTACTAAAAAGCACACCAATTATTATAAAAAAAACCAAATAAAAACAATAAATACATATGTAAAATCAGAGACTTAATGACACTTTTGATGCACAATCAATGTCTTCTCCCAAGTACAAGAGTATCAAAGTAATAAATAACCCGACAAGACTGAGGTCGAACCATATGGAGGTTAATTGTACAAATTATAAATAACAATTATATACAACAATAATAGTAACAACAACAACAACAACAACAACAACAACAACAATAATAATAATAATAATAGTACTACTAATAATAATAATAATAATAAAGAGGAAGAAGAAGAAGAAGTTGATAAGAACTTTGAGATGGAAGATTAACTTAACAATTAAACAATGATAACAATAAATGTCAAGGTTAGAGGATCCACTAATGGTATGTCAAACAAGTATAGTATAAACTCTTAT